TTCCACTATGAGTTAAGGTTTTCAAATCTCTTGTATCGAAATTCTTACGTTCTTGTATCGAAATTACGTTTTAAAAAAATCAATTTAAAATGAATCAAAGCGTAAGGTAGCTGAACTATTCAAAACTGTAATAATAATAAAAATAATAATAATTTAAAATTACATTTTTTCAGCTGGTGACCAACCCATCAACTCATTCCTTGGCAGAATTGAAACGATATAATTCAATCCAAATTCATATAGTTTTGACAGCCATTTAGTTTACACCCCTAACCATCTATTCAATTTCTATAAAAAAGAAAAAGAAAAAAAGGTAATAAAGAGAAAATTTGTTAATGAAATGTTTGAATATGATCAGGATCCATGAAAATTAGATATGATTTTTACTATTTTTCCGACAGTCAAATCACGGGTTTTTTTAGGCATTTTCGTTGAACAGTATGTTTTGGGGATAAGATTTGGATAAGGCTTTGGAAACATAAAAAACCCACTGTTCTTTCTCCAAATCCAAACGAACGCAAAATTCACGATTGGGTATTTTCATGGCGGTGGAAGAAGAGAAGATTCAGCTCGCCGGAAAAGTTATCGTGGCCATGAAGGGCCATCCCGGTACCGGAAAATCAACCCTAGCGTCCGCCATTGCCGCGGCTCTGAAGCTCCCTCTCATCGACAAAGACGACATCAAAGACTCCACCTCCTCTCTCCACCAGCACCAAATCCCACCCTCGCTCCTCAACGACGCCTCCTACGACGCCGTTTGGCGGGTCGCCTCCACTCAGCTCCGAGTCGGACTCGGCGGAATCGTTGTCGACTCGCCGCTCTCCCGCCGCCGCTACCTCGACGAGCTCCGCCGCGTCGCGTCTGATGCCGGCGACGTGGGAGTCTTGGTGGTGGAGGGCAAGCCGTCGAACGAGGCCGAGTGGCGGCGGAGGGTGGAGGAGCGTGGACGGTCCGATCAAGCCAGCTGGCACAAGCCCTCCACGTGGCGAGATCTGGAGAGGCTGCTCGAAGAGTACGGAGGGTGTACGGAGTACGACGTCGGAGATGTTCCGAGGATCGTTGTGGATACGACTGGTTCCGACAGAACTGAGGAGAGTGTATCCAGTGTGGTCGAGTTCATCGTATCTAACAGTGGTCCCTCCCTCTAAAAAATGTATATATATATTTTTATATTCAATTGTAAATAGAAGACTGTGAGAAGAACATTATCCATAACCTATGTTTATTTAGATTAATTAATCATCAAAATCATCAAAAAGAGACAAAATTACTACATATTATAAGATTAATCCAAAGCACAGCTCAAACTGATGTGTTAAAAACAAGTTATCATAATTTTGTAATGTCTTTAGAGTTATTTAGGGGTTGAAGACTGAAGACAATCTTTCATAATCTCTTGAATCCTCCTCTCCAACAGCTTATCCTTGACTCTATCAAGCATGCTTTCATAGAAACCTTGAAGCCTCAGAAGCTGGCTTCGATCTGCAGCCTCTACCATTTGTTCCCATTCTCTTCCGAGGTCGAAATACCCCGAGGCTCGTAACGAATTCGGGATATCTTCCTCCTCGTTGAACGGTTTCCCGAAGATCGAACCGTGAAGTATGCTGGTGTATCTTTCCATCACTGTTAGCTTCGATTCTAGCCGTTTGATATCTTCTTCCGCCGAGCTTTTATCTGTCTCGGGTGCTTCCTCATTCATGGGTTTCGGCTCATTAGGCCAGAGGACAGTAGTCGGGCTATAATGGTCGGTAGTGTTTCCGTTCCCGAGCACGCCATTCCTTCCTCGTCCCCAAGACCAGAGCTTGTAACCTCCGTTCGCCAAGAGAACCGTGTGTGCTGCCCCGCAAGAAACCTGAACAGGGTCCCGAAACCATGATCCACTTGACATCCGTCTCGGTGTAATGGCGTCCCCGGCTTCAGGTTCAGTGAAACTAGCATCAGGACATAACCCTAACCCCTTCTCCATTCCCCACGACCAGACATATCCCTCGGATGATACCACACTTGTATGGAACAAACCACAATCTATGGAAACAAAGCAAGAGTGTTCAGGCAATTCTTTAACAGGCTCAGGAACGGATGAGCTCTTAGTATTCCCGTGCCCGAGCTGACGAATGTCCAACAAAGTCTTGCTTCTTGCGTCTTTCCTTTCTTATGGGTAAGAATAGCCGTGTGGTGAGCCCCGCAAGCTATGTCATATACTGTAAAACCCGAGTCCTTGTCAAATGTCTCGACAATCCGGGGCCTTGAACGGTTTTCTCTGTCCCCGAGCCCTAACTGGCCATGATCATTACCGCCCCAAGAATACAACACGCCATCCTCGTTTCCACAATTCTTCCCGACACCCACGAGGGCCATGACATGTTCATTACCACACGCTACCTTCAGAACCATCTGGCCATAGAAATCAGATACAGGAGTAGGAACCGAAGTGCTTGAAAATGAGAAGCGAGGTTCTTCAGGTTCCCTGTCTTCTTCGTGTGGAATATTGCCCCACATCCAAAGTCCTCCAACACTATCAATGGCAAGCGACATCATACATCCGGCTTTGACACAACTAACCTATAAAGAACGACGAAAGGGTTGTACTTTCAGATCACGGGTTATAAAGGAGAACTAGGGCAAGATTTGCAGAACCACATACCTTTGTAGGGGAACTGGTTTCTGTAACTGGACTGTCTTGAGGAGAACTGGATGATTCTGGTTTCAGAAACTGATCCAACAAGCGAGGCGCCAATGAATTCTCTCCATCAAAACCAAGTTGGCCATCCATATATCAGTCAAGGCTCTTTACTCATTGATAGATTCAACGTCGAGAACAGAGAAAAGGCCGATCATATCAATTAAACGGCAAAGATTCAGATGAAGGATACATATGTTATAACCCCAGCACCAAACCGAACCATCATCTGCCAACAACAGCTTGGAAGGCAAACACAAAACATAAGCCAAGAGAAAGGTTAATACCAATATGATCATGTTCAATAGAGAATCAGCATTTACCAGAATGGTATCTCCAGCATGATCTAGATTATGACCCGAGCTAGTTTATTTGGAGATCAGAGCGAAACCCACAATTGTTGAGATCATCTTAATCAGTATTTTTACAAGTAAATCGTCGATTAATCAGGTTTATGCCCTAACAAGCTTCAAGCAAGAATCATGAACTCTTTTCTTTTTCGGAAGAGGAAGGAACCTGAAAGAGCGAGACTGTGATAAGCACCAGCAGCAACACCCACGATTTTGACCCGATCACTCCCGGGTCGACCCGGAAACTCGAACCCGACACGAACTGGGCCGAGCTCGTCGGACTCCGAACCCAACCCGAGACGACCGAACATCCCTCTTCCCCATGAGTACACGCATCCGTCGCCTGCCAATTACCAACACCGTAATCGATCCAACGAAGGAAACAAAAGAGAGAGAAAATTGTACTTATCGAACGGAAAAAAGTTGTAAATTCACCAGAGAGAGCCACAGTGTGAGCTTCTCCAGAAGCTACGGACACTATTTCCCGGGATAAATCGCCGGAATCTGGAAACGCCGGCGATTTGTCATCCATTGCTATGCGACACCGATAATTTCAAGAGCTACGTGATGGATAAGATGGAAAGAATTACAAAGCAGGGATAAATTTGTAACTCCGCGAAACAATAAGGGCAATTATGGAACTAAAGCCAAATAAATTGAAGGTGAATTAGGCATATGGGCTTTACGTGAAGATAGAAATTAGAAAAAGGTAGGATTGGAATAAGCCCATGTGGGCCCATTGTATACAATGGGCCTAATAAAGCCCATGCATTTTCAAAGTCGTTCAGGTTTTCTTCCCCCGTTTCTTTCAACTCAAAATTATGCTCCTTCCTTCTTGTTCTTTGGGCTTAGTGTCGGAGATTAGGTTTTGGTCCTAAATCCTGATCGTCGGAGGTATTACCAGTTTCCGGAGCATTTGGGTTTTGTTGTTTTGATTTCGCTCTCTTTTGTTTGTGCATCTGCTTGGTTTGAATTCGGAATTAGGGTTTTATTAGGGTTTAACCTAGGTTTACTTCACTCTTTTTCCATCTTCTCTGGGCTTTGTTTATCTTTCTGGTAGGGATACTGCTGCTCAGGCGTGGTTTTAAAACCAAGCCACAGGCTTCAATCTGATTTCTCTGCTAATTGAATTGATCAGACTTTTGTTTGACAAGTATTGAGATCAATGTCAATGGACATCGATAGAGAAGATGGTAGAGCGCCAAACCAGCTGAGACCCCTCGCTTGTTCCCGAAATATTCTCCATCGTGCCCATGGCTCCGCTAGCTGGTCGCAAGGTATCCCATCCATATCCATGTTTTCCTGTCCAATTACACGATCACTGTTTCCAATTCTAGGGTTCCTGTACGCCTTAGTTTGTGAATTGGTAAGCTTTTTAGTCTTTTTCTTTTATGAAGGTTTACTGTTTCTTGATGTGTAAATTCGTGGGTATGCATTTGGATTTGATATGGTTTCAGGGGATACAAAAGTTTTAGTCGCGGTTTATGGACCAAAAGCGGGCACCAAGAGGAACGAAAACCCAGAGAAGGCATGCTTCGAAGTCATATGGAAACCTAAAACCGGGCAAATTGGTAAGTTTTAATATTAGAAATGGGGATTTTCACTTGAATGCATCATTGCGTCTAGCTGCATTCCTAGTTTGGTTAGAACATGTCATTGGTTGCTTGGTTATGTTGTCATGGTAGAAGTTAAATGTTTTTTTACATGGTTTGCTTAATGTATCGTCATCTTTTTTAGGAAAGGTTGAAAGGGAGTATGAGATGGTACTGAAAAAGACATTGCAGAGCATATGTGTCTTAACGGTAAATCCAAATACCACCACATCAGTGATAGTTCAGGTGAGTAGTTATCCCATAATGTGTACGTGGGTCACTTGTGGATCTCCATTTCCTTGCAAGAATGTCCATTCTCAGTTTGTCTTGTCTCTGAAGTTTCGGTTTCTTTATGTGACATGCAGGTTGTGCATGATGATGGCTCTGTATCCTTTTACAAACATTCCCAACATTTTAGTGAACTGAGGATTCTGTCTCGGGCATATATCTTATGCTTCATTTTAACAAGGAGATAAATATGGATTGTTGCTTGGGGATTTGAGTTTCTGAGAAAGTGGTGAGATCAGTGGAAATTGTTTGTTTGAGGAACAATAAAGGTGTCTGATGCTATTTGGAAGGGTCAGGCTTTACTTCTCTAATTAGTGGTTCTAATTGATATTTTTTTATAGAAGCCTTCATTTCAATTTCCTTGATTCAATCTCGTGTAGCTTCTTCCGTGCGCTGTAAATGCGGCATGTGCAGCCCTTGTAGAAGCAGGAATTCCTATGAAGCATCTTGCCGGTATTTCACTGCAGCTAGTGCACCTACCTACTCGCTTTCAGTTACTCTTACAACTGTTACATTTTCATTTTCAGTTGCGATATGCTGTTGCCTGGCCGATAACGGATATGCCATCCTCGATCCAAACAAGATTGAAGAGCAGGTTAATAAATTTTGCTATCCTTTTCTGCTTGGTTTTGTTCTTGTCTTTTCACGAGCTGCCACAAAACCGGTATGCTTATTTGGATTGCAAAAACTGGGCAGAAAATGAAGGCGTTTGCTTGCTTAGTCTTTCCGAACTCGATTCTCTCGGTTCTGCCGGAAGGGTCATCACTCGTGGAAGGTGAACCTGCGGAACACGGGATCATTACGTCTACCACCTATGGAGTTATGTCAGGTACTGCTGGAACTTCTCTTTCTTTACTTTGCATTGGGCAGTAACATATTGTGAATTGATGATTCTTTTGTGATATTTGTTTCAGTGGAAGATTATTTCCTGTGTGTAGAGAGAGGGCAGGCTGCTAGCGCAAGTTTGTCTGCTTTCTTCAGGAAGAACTTCCAACAAAGCCAAAGAGATCCGTCCAAACCCTGAATGAGAGGACCCTTTACAGTTCAAGTTTTTGTATTACCCTTGTCCTCAAGTCAACAACATTTCTGATATGAAATTATGATGGTTTGTTCTATAGATCCCTAAAACCATAGAATGTACTCCTTTCTTATTGCATCATCAAGGATCTTCTAATGATGTTGCAGACAATGAACAACACTTTGTGAGCTCTTTTCACATTAGGGTTTATATCCAATGGCAACTTTTTTTTTTCGTTTTTGGATTTTGCATTAAAAAAAAGGAAAAAAGAAAGCGTCGACAGCAGGATTCGAACCTGCGCAGGCAAAGCCCAACAGATTTCGAGTCTGTCTCCTTAACCACTCGGACATATCGACTTTTCTGTTTATCTTTAAAGAAATTTAAATAGAATTTTAACAACATTTCATAATTGTTTTACGGTAAATATAGATTCATGATTGTTTGTTGTAACATAAAAATGATTTCGGATCACGTGTTTATCTAGAAAAATAGTAAATTAATCATTTGCCAAAAAGATTTTAAGGAGAACAAAAGAAATTACAGAAGTTAAACCGGGTCCGGTTTATCCCTACCAATTGGATTTCATGGCCCTTAACCGTATATTGGTAAAACAGACAATACCAACACAAGGGCTTTCTCTCACGGCCCTCTGTTTCACAAATAAACATCTGATGAAATCTGAACTATACATCCAAAGACCACAAACTTAAAACAACGATTCTTGCGTTCTGGAAAAATGTTTTGGCAGTGATGAATCTCTCGGGACGGCAACGAGAATTCGTACCAGAGTCCTTGGCCTACCGGCTTCGCCTTCTAACTGATGTTTGCTTGTTTTTCAGTTCAAGATCCGGAAGAAAATCTTCCTGCAATTCCAAAACATATAACAGAAGACAGTTCTTGTAAGTTTTCCATCTTTGTTTTGTTTTCCTTTCCACCAAGTTAGAGTTTCGACAAGCAATGTCTCGAGATGTCCCTGGATTCAGCTGTATTTTCAGGATATCTGTCTCTTAAGAATCAAGAATTCGAGCCCTTAAACAATCTTGATCAAATATCGGTAAAACTTTGAAACAATCCAGTTCATATCTTCATATCAATAATGTTTAGCGATCTCGTTTTTTGAAGAATGCGCTTGTTTCATTTGAACAAAGGTTTTTTGAGTTTAATCATTTTGTTTAGCAACTGAAAAACCCGTAAAGTTTCTACCTTTCTTACCTTTTCTCTCTCCTGATTTCCCTTCTTCGGACAGGAAGACCCTCAAAAGAGTGGTGAGACGTTAACTCCTCTGGTGTTCTTCAAGAGCCATTTGTTGGGATAGAACGGATGTGATGACTCGAGATGAAGTTGCCACACCATGACGTTTGAGCAGCCCTCGGGCAATCCCTCCATCTGTGTTTCGTCTTCCACAATCTGTTCGATGAACGAACTCACCTGCAAATTTCCCAGTCCAGTTTTCGAGATCAAACACAGAATCGACAAGGTTTTCAGGCAAATGATTACTAAAAGGTTTAACCTTGAGATCATCTCCAACTGTGTCAGCCTGTCTGATGAGTTCAACAGTAGGTCGGTGCCAACGCTTTGGATCCCAAAGGATGGTACTGTTAAAGGCAAAACCCGACATTTCGGCATGGAATCTCCGGAATCTAGAAGATTGGCTTGTGTGCCATCCAATTACCCTAGTTTCATTACAAACAGGGCCTTCTACAGTGTCTGTGTTTCCTTTTCCGTTTAGCTTAGCTACTTTCCATGTCCCAAAACGCCTGAAAATGCGAATGCCGAACTTACTCAAACCCTATATTGTATCCGTAGAAGAAATCTGTAGAAAGTTTCGGAATTTCTCAAGTACCTGATCTCTCTCATTTGCCCAAAAAGATCCAATGAATACATGTTACTGTCATCTGCAAAGTAAACAATCCCGTCTAGACGATGTGTTTCTATGTGGGCCATCGCGAGATTTCTTTGGTGAACTTTCATATCATTCACATCGGTCACATTCTTATCGCAAACCAGATGTCTATACATGACCCCGGTCTTCCTCAAGATCTCTGCAGTCTCCACCGATTGAGAATTCATCTCGACAACAATCCACAGAAGAGGTGGCTCGACAAGTTTCAGCATCTGTCCTAAACGGTTCAGGTAATATGCCTGGAAGGGCCAAGAATACGTGGGGGTAACAATCACCAAGAGCTTACGAGAAACCAGACCCGATTCTTGTTCAAGAACATTTGTAAAGTTTACCGGTTCTTGAAACATCATCCAGTGCCCCTGAGTTGAATTAATCTCCATGGATTTGGTATCAGAACCCAGGCGTTCGTGTCTTGCTTGACTGTCATTTACTTGTAGACTCGAAACAACGTCAGAAGAGAAAGCTCGGTGCTTGGCCACGGAGCTCATTGAGAATTCCGTGGAAGCAAATTGGCCGAGTCCGATGAAAATACCGATCGAGAAACACAAGGAGAAATGTATCAGAGCTCTCTTCCATAGCTGACCTTTCGGTTTCAAGCGTTCAATAGGTCTGGAAGATCTAGGAGAATATACACCAAAGAGCAAAGCTTGAGGATCTGATAAACTAAGCAATGAAGAAGACAACCCTCCACCCGTTGCAGCAGATCCATGGTTCTGGGAACAAGATGAAGATTTGGACAGAGGAGAGCCCACAGAGACAGCTTCCCCGTTTGCTGAAGAACTCTGTCTGGGTACTGGAGACAGCGTTCTTCTAATCGATGCCATTTGAACCAACAAATCCAAATCCAATCCCAAATCTCAGATTCTGAAAACTACAATTCTTATAATCATTTCATCAAAAGGATCTCATCTCAAATGCTCAATGAAACTCTTCTGGTACCAAATGTTACAGACACATTGCCAAATCTCTCTTAACTTAAACTGTTAGCTCTGCATCAAGCTCAATCAAGACAAACATCAACAGGAGAACCAGACCAGACATTCAATCAAAGAAGAGTTTCCAAATCCAGACCAGACATCGAACTATTTCCATGGAAACCGGAATTTCAGATCGATGTGCAGGAAAATCCGAACTTCCGATGAAATGGGTCGTTAAATTACCGTTCGGGGACGAATGGGTACTCGGATCTTTTCGCAGATAAACGCCGTTGACGAGACCCGGAGCTACTTGAACTCGACTTCGGACAAACACTGCTCCAGAAACCGGATCGCCGCCATGGAAGTGTGCATTTACCCAAAAATAACACTTTTTTCTCCAAAAAGTTCGACAAAAAAAAAATAAAGGAAGAGAAACAAAGAAGATCTCTCCGTCTTCCTCTTCTTCTGCAAGATTGAAGATTCAACAGCAAAACCCAAAAAAGAAGTAATTTTTTTTCTTGTTTTGGGATTTATATTTTAAAAAATTGCTACTTCTTAGGACATTTTCTTGTCCAGATGCTTACATTACATGTGACTAATATTTGTGATACATGGATCCAGATATATATTTTTTTCTTTTCAAGCCTCCAAAACTAAAAATAAATAAATAAATAAATATGTTTCCCAGCCACTTTATGGCCTGGTTTTTTGGGAGTTTTTCTTCTGAACAATTTTTGGGATTTTTTTAAAAAAAAAAACAGAAAAAAAATAAGGAGATGCGCCGAAACAAAGTCTGGGAAATTATTTTATCATTCGATTTGATTTTGATTATATTTTGTTATATGCAACGGGAATGAATTCTAATCACCACAATTAATAATTAACCATGAAGTCTGTAGCGTAATCTTATAACTAATCTGCCATTAACTATCAATATCTCAAACTAATGAAACAAGTCTAATCATAAGTGTAACCATGCACTCACTAGTTGTTTTTAGCTGAATCCTAAAACTTAAATAAATATTTAAGTAATTGTTCATTCTTAACAAAAAAAAAAAAAGATGCAGCTTACAATGAATTTCTAGTATTTACATTGGATGAAAAACACCAGATGTTTCTATTTATTTAGTTATGATTAATTCAGTTTTGATTATCTCGGATTTTATAAATTTATAACCAAATATTTATTTGGTTCCTTCTTTTCTTGGTTTTAATCGATTATGGTTCAATTTGATTACAGTCTAATTAAAATTATAACAAAATAATAAATAAATAAAAATTCGATTCTATTATAATAGTAAATAAAATAAATTGAACATCATTGAAAAAAATATTAAAGGTCTCAATTTAATTATATATCATAATTATAAAACTATATAAACAAATTTATTATACTAATTATTTTAATTAGATATAACATATATCGCGTATTAATCGAAAATATATGAATGAACAAATGATTAGATTCGGTTATGATTAATTCAGATTTGGTCTATTAAAATTTTATAACCAAAAAATTATTTAATTTTAATCACTTCAATTCGATTTTTAAATAACCGAACTATTTTTGCACCCCACAAACCCCTAATTTTATCTGTAAATTCTAAAAATAAATATTTATGTGACATGTTTATGTTTTACTAATTAAATTATCAAATTATACACTCTTGCATTTTTATTTATTTATTTATTTATTTATTTATTTTTGTGTCGCGCTAACCCTTTCTTTTTTAATGCTCTCCCGAGTTCCTCCAGACTCTCTTCTTCATCTCCAGATCTGCTGAAGCGCTCGCAGAAGAGGATTAGTCACATCGATCGCCATATCTATGCCGATGGCGATTAGGGTTTCTCTCGTTCTTCTGCTCTTTTTATCATCCGCGATTGTTTCTCTCTCTCTTTATGAAGATCAAGTCGGGCTCATGGATTGGTAATTCGTCTCCGCTTCATCCGGTTTCTTCTTTTCCTTGGATTTCCGTTTGTTTCTAGAGAAAATTGGCTGAGAACTTTAGGAAGCTTCTAACTCTATCTGACTATTCTAGAATTCTCATCGTTTGAATTTTCGATTTCGGACTCGGATTGTTGTTCTCGCCGATCTGATTAATCCATGTCGTATTGTCTTTGATCCGTGATTTGGGCTTACAATCTTGTTAGCCAATGTTTTGCGTGATTATCCGATTTCTGGAAGTGTATTGGAAGTGTATTGTTTGGTCATGGATGTAATCGAAACACTCTCAGGGAAAGTTACTCTTAGTTACCTCGGGGATGATATGGGACGAAGTAGGATTGAAATTTCTACCTTAAGGGTTTCATGGAGAAGACTCTTTTGTTGTTTTGTGTAGGCATCAACGCTACATTGGGAAAGTGAAGCATGCAGTGTTCCACACTCAGAAAACTGGAAGGAAGCGTGTTGTTGTGTCAACCGAGGAGAATGCTATTGCTTCCCTTGATCTCAGACTCGGAGAGATATGTAAGCAATCATTGTTCACTTGTTTTATTACCCAGTTTGAATAATGAAGTTTCCATGATCATTGGAGTGTCGCGTTTTTGTTTTGGTTGTTTATTTGGCTTTCTGGTTTGCTGCAGTTTGGCGGCATGTTCTTGGGGCAAATGATGTTATCAATGGGATTGATATTGCCTTGGGAAAATGTAAGAGTTCATATCTTCCATACCTGTTGATTAACTATGCCTGGATGGACCTGCAACAATTATATGAGCATTTCAACCTCTGTTACCTGGCTTTTGACTGTTTGAGCGAAATTATTTCAGATGTCATTACCCTTTCCTCGGAAGGAAGTATTTTAAGGGCCTGGAACCTTCCAGATGGCCAGATGGTGTGGGAAACTGCGCTTCATGGTGTAAAGCATTCCAAGCCCCTGTTGTTGGTGCCGGTTAGTGATACAACCATTTTATTTGCTTGTAGTTAAAGATGACCTGTTGCTATCAATATTGTTAATGCTTTGCTGTAGATAATTTTTGGGTTGCTGAATTAACTACCATGATATAGTCATAATTATTCGGTAAAGGGTATTTGCTACCTCATACCCATACCATAGATACCCAAAGGGTGCAGGCTCCTTTTTTCGTTTGTTAGGAAACACAAACTTCCCATATGTTATCGAAGAATGCAATGCCATCTTGGATTTAGTTGCTATCAGCATCTCTTTGTTTCCTTTCCTATAGTTTATGAACACAAGTTGTTTTGCAGACGAATTTGAAGGTTGGCAGGGACTACCCAATTCTTGTTTTTGGGGGAAGGTCTCTTCAAGCCGTGTCTGGTGTAGATGGGGAAATCCTCTGGAAAAAGGATTTTGAACCTGATGGGTATGAACACCCTTAAGTTTATATATGACTGTTGCTGCTGCCCTTATATAAAAAAGTTACAGACCTGGATTATACAATTTTTAATTGATGTCTAATAACTTCTTTATTGCGCTTTGTGACGTTCTCTGCAGCTTAGAAGTTCAGAAGGTTCTCCAACCTTCTGGAAGTAGTATGTTATATGTGCTGGGCTTCAGTGATTCATCCCAGGTTGATGTCCATCAGATTGATGCCAAAACTGGGGAAGCAGTAACACACAAAAGTATGATGTTCCCTGGTGGGTTCTCTGGGGAAGTTTCGTCGGTTTCTAGTGATAAGCTTGCTGTTCTTGATTCAACTAGGTCAACATTGGTAACAATTAGCTTTCTAGATGGAGATATTAGCTTCCAGCAGAAGCTTATCTCAGATCTTGTTGAGGATTCTGGAGAGGTCGAGATTTTACCATCCGTTCTTAGCAATATGCTTGCTCTAAAAGTCAATAAACGCACAATACTCCTAAGAGTCAACGGTGAAGGAAAGATGGAGCTGGCAGACACATTATCTGATGAAACAGCGATCAGCAATTCACTTCCAGTCGCGGATGATCAGGAAGCATTTGCCTTGATTCAACATGAAGGAAATAAGATTCACTTTGAGGTGAAGCTTGTTAATGACCGGGAGACTGTATTGCTTTCGGAGAGCATTCAAATGGAACAACATAGAGGGCTTGTCCATAAAGTTTTCATAAACAACTATATTAGGACAGACAGGACTAACGGATTCAGGGCATTAATTGTAATGGAGGATCAATCTCTTTTGTTGCTGCAACAAGGGGCGATTGTTTGGAGCAGGGAAGATGGGCTAGCTTCGATAATCGGTGTCACAACATCTGAACTGCCTGTGGAAAAGGATGGTGTATCAGTGGCAGAAGTGGAGCACAATCTCTTTGAGTGGCTTAAGGTAGGAATATATCACAATGTCTTGTTTTTATTGATCGCTGTAGTTGGGTTACTTCCATATAAATTCATTGTATTTTTGTGGTTTTTGTCATACTGGCCATTTGAAGTTGTCTTTGATGTAATTTTTTTGGTGGTTTCTCTTTGGAAGGGACATGTGTTGAAGCTCAAAGGGACCTTGATGCTTGCAAGCCCGGACGATGTAGCAGCAATCCAGGCAATGAGGTTGAAAAGTTCTGAGAAGAGCAAACTGACACGTGACCGTAATGGCTTCCGGAAACTAATCATAGCATTAACACGAGCTGGAAAACTTTTTGCATTGCACACTGGAGAAGGAAGGATCGTCTGGTCTGTGCTGCTGAATTCTCTGCGCAAATCAGAAACATGTCGAAATCCGTCCGGTATTAACTTGTTCCAGTGGCAGATCCCTCATCACGCAATGGACAAGAACCCTTCTGTTCTTGTAGTTGGCAGGTGTGGTCCGGGTTCAAGTGCTCCCGGTGTACTTTCCTTCGTAGATGCCTACACGGGGAAAGAGCATAGCTCATTAGGTGTTGATCACTCTGTTGTGCAAGTAATATCTCTGCCATTTACAGACTCGACTGAACAGCGTTTACATCTGATGGTCGATACCGATCGTCGTGTCCACTTATACCCAAAAACTTCAGAATCTCTCAGAATCTTTCAGCAGG